CTGATCATCCTATCATTATGTAGGTTGCCACCCAGGAGATAGAGTTATTGGATGGGCCAAGGGTTCCTTTGTTCTTCTTTGTTAAGAACTTGCTTTGCTTTCAACTGAACAAGAAGAAGATGTGATCCTATGATTTCTGTCATCTGCAAGATGGATTCTTTTCTGTTTTTAGTACGCAACAATAAAGCTTTACTTTGGATTTATAATTGTGTCTTCATGGAACCAGCATTTTCCAGGGTGGCTAGTGAAAGGAAGCAGTCTTCTGATCTCTGCTACATTTACATCACACAAATATAGGAAGCATTTATGGGCTCCCCAGATGGTTACTTGATCAGATGTTCTTCTGTTATTTTTATGTTGGAAACACCATTATTTTGTTGTCGTAGATGGGAAGCCTGCACAGGTAGATATCATGCATAGTCTGTGATTTAACCTTCAGTCTTGTGTAAATAGCCAGTCTGGTGCAGAGGGTTTAAGGGCAAAGAAGATGGGTTGCCAGGTTGGAAGGGGATTGGGGTTAGTCAGCAGCCACAGTTGAGTGTGAAGATGGTTTCAGCCTCTTGTTTCTCACCCTCCCCAATGATTCTCTCTCTTTTTGCTAAAACTGCATAACTTTGAGGGGAGGAGAGGAGAGGAGAGGAGAGGATCTGCTCCTTTTGCTGGCTGCCTCTGTTCTACAGTAAGACCAACAGCAGCCTGGTGTAGGGCATTGGACAAAAGGCAAAACAGAATGCAACCAGCCAGAACAGGCCATTTTTGAAAGAGTTTGAAGCCAGAAACATTGGACTATGTTGGACGCTTGAGAACAATTTTGTACAAGGGAAATAATAGTCTTTTTTCTTAATTTTCTTAGCTACATTGTTGTTACACTTGAGTTACACTGTTCTCTTTTTCAGCAACCTATCACTATAATTCATCAACAGTTTACAGCTAGACAATATATGTGCTTCATTTACATTGTTTTTGTATAACATTTCTTAATAATAAAATATATGACTTTATATTTTAACTTGTCTCCTGTTTTGTTTGATTCTAAGTTCGTTACATATCATATATACATTATGTCATATATCTTAAATCTTGAAAGCCAGTGTGGTGTAGTGGTTTAAGCACAGGACTAGGACTCTGGAGAGTGGGGTTTGATTCCCCGCTCAGTCATGGAAATCCAGTGAGTGAACTTGGTGAGTAACACTCTCTCAGCCCCAGAAAATCCTGTGATAGGATCAGCTTAGGGTCACCATAAGTCGAAAACGACTTAAAGGCACAAAACAATAACAATATTATATCTTGTTTTATATCTCCAACTTCCTGTCTAGTTAGTTGGAACTTTTTGGATGATTTTCTCTGCTTTTCGGTTACCCAGCCTGTTATAGTATTCCTTCTAAACTTTATGTATTCAGTCATGCATTAGCTGGGCCATGGCTGATGAATTGACGGGTAGCAATTATATGGTCATGAACATTTTCCTGGGGAATTCTTTCTCAGCAGTAGAAACAATTGATTTATTGATTTTCAAACATGTCCCTGGAGACGGCCCTTTAAAGCTGGCTTTTTGCTGGCTTGGGGGCATGGTGTTTAGACATAGCATGCCCCCCAGTCACCCAGAAGTCATGCCAGCGATTACACGCCGGCCAGCTTCTGGGCGACTGGAGGTTGTGGTGTTTACACGCCACACTCACCCAAGCTGGTGAAAAGCTAGCTCAGACCACTTAAGGGCCGCTTTTATCCACCCCAAATAGGAGCAGATCTTTTCCGCTCATATTCGGGGTGGAGACTGGCTGGATTGGGAGCGTGGCATCTGTTTGCCCTAATCCAGCTCCAGCAGGGTGGCTTGGAGCTGCGCCTTCAGGGCCATAAGTTATGAATACTGTTTTCTGTTCAACTCCTATCCAGTGAAGCAGAAGCTGCCCGAGCAGATCCAACCCTTGTGCTACGTTGGTTAAACCCATGTTTTTGTTCTGTGTACCTTCAAGTCATTTTCAATTTATGGCTGATCTGAGACAAATCGATCAGAGGAGGAGAAGACAAGTTTGGTCCATCCTCAATATGACACCCCTTCAAACTTTAAACAGTAGTTTGAGGCCACCTCCCCACCCAAGTGGAAGCCCAGGAAGGAACAGGAGGAGATCAAGGTGGCTGAGGTCATTGTGTAGTAAATAATAATAATAATAATAATAATAATAATAATAATAATAATAATATTTATTTATATCCTGCTTAATGACAACAATCCAAGCGGCTTACAATAAAAAGTACATACATCAAATTCCCAAAGACATCCCACCTCCCATTACACCAGAGCCAACTCCTCCCCCCATCAGTTCGGGGAAGGAGAGGCCAGGGATGTTCCCACTCCCCCCATGACCCCCTTTTCAGACCACTTTTCCATCTCCTGCAAGCCCAGAAAGATTTTGCCTAACAACAGCCTCATGAGTGCCAGAGCCTTTTTCTTATTGGCTGATCTCCTTTGCTTTCAGGGAGGTGGGGGACACACAGCCACTCTTCTAATAGCAGGACTGGACCCCAGCCCTCCCCTCCTGGCTCCAAGTTTCCCCTAGATTGGCTTGGCAGAGACCAGGTGGCAGAGGCACAAGAGTGAAGTTAAAGCCCATAATCCCCAGGATCCCTGGGGGTCTTCACTCCTTCTCCACTTCTTCCTCTTCTCCCTGCCAGATGCCAGAGCCCTGAAAGTTTGGGATGCCCTGAGGAAGTTGAGAGAGGCACCACATAAAACCTTTGAGACTCAATCCTGTGGAGGGGAAAAATAGTTTGGGGACCAGAGAAAAGAAAGCCCTCTCCCATATTCCTAGGAGGGGGAAAGGGGTCCTTTGAACTTTCTTGAGGAGAAGAGATGGGGGCTGGTGCAAGAAGGCATCCCAGAAACATTGCAAAATACAGAAACATTGCAAAATTCCAAAATGGCAATTGAACCTCAATACTGAGGTTTTAGTTTAGAAAAAAACAACTCATACATTAACATCCTTTTGTCTTAAAAGAAAAAAAACACAATAACATAGCTTTCAATGATACAAACAGGTTTTTGTTGAAAGATAAAAGTTTGCATTTGGCATACTTATGAACAATTAATGTGATTTTTGCTGTTGTATGCATGCTGATAATTTGTCTAACCTTGGCTCATACTTTGTAAGTTTGAGAGTAACACATGCAGCACTCAGGTCATCTGTTAGTCTGTTTCTAGTGTCAGATTTGAAATAATTCAAAGCTGAAAACAGCTGCTCACAACCATAAGATGATCCAAACAAAGTAAAGAAAGCAATCCCAAATGCTCTCACTGACTTAAAATTCTTTGGCAGAGAATTCCACACTTTAAGGATTTCATTTTCAGAACTAACTATACTGTCCTTTGTCATCCCTTTTCTCTTCTCAAGTGTTTCACGTAGGTCATAGAATTTATTTTTCCAGATAGAGCTTTCTTGAAATTCCAATAGCTCCATTTCCAGATTTCCTAAATCAAACCAGTATAAGCAGGAAAGATCAAGTTCTTGAAATTTGGCTTTATCTGGAGGAGTAAGAAAACACAGGATGATCTCCATCTTACGGAACTGTAAAAATCTGTTACTAAAATTCACCTTTGCTAGGAAATTTTTAAAATGTTAATGAAAATGTTAACAAGCTTTGAATGTCAGAGGTGAATTGCTGTGGAAAATGCCCTTAACTGTAGCATATCAAAGGGTGTTGGTGCAAAGACACCACTGCTGTTACTACTGGCATGGAGTGAGCCACAAAAAAATGCAAGGGGTTGGGAGGTGTGTGTGTGAAGGGAGGGAAGAAAACGGAACATGGAAATGGAAAGGGAGGTGTGTGTGTGTGGAAGGGAATGTGGGAAGGCATTGCCTGAGGATACAGGAAGCATGTACAGTTCCAATCCTCCTCCTCCCAAATATCTTATACAAGCCATGACCATCCAAATTTGGGGCCTCTCTTACCTAACAAGGCAGGGATTGGTCTTTAAGCAGAGGCAGGATGGCCATCTGTCGGGGATGCTTTGATTGGGAGTTCCTGCATGGCAGGGGGGTTGGACTGGGTGGCCCTTGTGGTCTCTTCCAATTCTATGATTCTATGTCTCAGACTGTTTCAGTGATCAAGGAGAGCATCTCCCCTCTGAATGACTGCTTGAGGTCAGTAATGGATTGGATGAAGGCAAATAGACTTAAGCTGAATCCAAACAAAATGGAGGTGATAGGTAACCCTAATCCAGGTATGGAGATAAATTCACCAGTCCTGGACGGGGTCACACTTCTCCAAAAGCACTGCGTTCGCAGTATGGAGGTGCTCTTGGACTCTTGGACTAAGAGTGTCTGTTATCAGCTTTGGCTGATACGCCAGCTGCGACCCTACCTGGAGCCACAGGACCTAGAAACAGTTGTACATGCGCTGGTAACCTCTCGTCTCGATTTCTGTAATGCGTTCTACATGGGGAAACCCTTGTGCCACGTTCAGAAGCTGCTGCAGAGTTTGGATGGCCATCTGCCAGGTATATGTTCGGAAGCTCCAACTGGTATAAAACATGGCAGCCAGACTGGTCACAGGAAAATCTAGGTTTGACCAGATAACATCTATTTTGAAATCTTTACACTGGCTGCCTGTTAGCTTCCAGTACAAGGTGTTGGTTATTACATATAAAGCCCTATATGGCTTGGGTCCAGTTTACTTGAAGGAACGCCTCCTCCCATATAATCCTTCCCGCACACTCAGGTCCTATGGGAAGAACTTACTACAGTCAAGGAAAACTAGATTGGTGGTGACTTCCCAGAGGACCTTTTCAGTTGCTGCTCCTAAAATTTGGAATGACCTGCTGGAGGAGACTCACCGGATTCCATCTGTTGACGTTTTTTTAAAAAGTAATAAAAACGATTCTCTTCCAGTGGGCCTTCCCAGACTGACCTCTGCCCTGGACAGAACTAACTGCCCATTTGATCTACCTCCCCTAGACATTGCCACTGTTATTAACTGCTTTTAATTGTTTTTTAGTTATAGGGATTTTATTGTTGTAATTCTATATCGAAGGGTGGGTGGGTTGAAGGAGTGGGGGGTTTGAGGATTGTTTCTTGTTATGATTTCTGTATTTGTTTTAATTTTTGCTGTTACCTACCTTGATCATCAAAAGGGGGAGGCGGGATACTATTATTATTATTATTATTATTATTATTATTATTAT